ATGAAAAAAGAACAGAACATATCTTATTAGTAAAATTTTATATTGATTACATCTTGATATGTAATCTATAATGTCTTTTGTAGAAATTAAATTAAATATATTATCAGAATTATGTCTGTGGCCACATTCTATTTCTGTTGGATAGTGTTGTACTAGGTTTGTGATTTCTGTTTATTCATTCCTCCTGTCCTGGTTTTTGTTTGTTTTTCTTCTCTGGCGTGGGCTCTCACCTCCTCTGGTGTTAGATGAGTAAGATCACTTCCTGGGACCCCCAGGCTATTGAAAAGCTCACATTTGAGTGGCTTGGCTTGTGTCGTAAATTTAACAGTGATTTACATTAGAGTTGACTATCTGTACATCTTTGTCTTCTTTCAGTTTCAAGCTTTTTTTCTTTTTTTTTTTGGAGAGGTTTTTGCTATAGGGCTTGTACGCCCACCAGAGAGACAGACAGAAAGCGAGAAATCTGGCTACGCCACAATCCCTTCTCCTCCATTCTCCTCTCGGGTTCTTGGGCACGCACGCACACATGCCCGGCATGAGTTTAAGACACCAGGTCCGGGACTTGAACCGCAGTTGACTATGTGGGAGTCCAGCGACATAGCCATTAGGCTAACTGCTGGTCCCAGCTTGTCTTTCTTTCTTTCTTTCTTTTTTTTTTTTTTAAACCTTTCCTTCTAAGTCCTCCTTATTTCCTTACTTGAACAGGGGGCAGTATCTCATAATACTGACCCTGATATACCCCAACTGTCTCCTTTATGTGCCCATAAATTTATGTTTATCTTCTGTATTGAGCTTATTTTATTGGCTATATGTTGATGTAATCCAAAGGGTTTCTCTACCTCCAGTCCATCTTATACCAAATTAAACTTCTTGTGTAATGCCACTATTCTTCAAGAACCTTCATGGCTCCCCTTTTCCATTAAAGGCCTTCTATAAGCTAGTTTAATTACTCTTCACATTATCTTTAGTTTTGGTATTTTTGTTATAGGGTACATACGCTCTCCAGAGAGAGAGCAAGACAGAGATAGGGAAAGTGAGAGGGGTGAGTCCCCTCTCTTCCATTTTTCTCTTGGCATTTTGGGCATATGTGTACCCATGCCCGGCATGATTTTCAAGTCACCTGGTCTGGGACTCTGAACAGCAAAGTCAGCCGTGTGGGATTCAGCTGCCCTAACCTCCATACACCTGCTGGCCCCACATCATCAATTTTTTTTGGACAGTTTTTTGTTTTTTTCTTAATTCAACCCACTTAAAGTTCTATTCTAGTTTGTTATTTTGTTGCTAAACAGAAATACCTGAGGCTGGGCGATTTCATAAAAATAAAGGTGTGTTTGGCTGAGGATTCTTGGAGCCGGGAAGACTAAGAACAAGGGGCTAAGTATCTGGCCGATCTCTGACCCTAGGTCACAACCTGGCTGACAGAAGCAGAAAGGAAAGCGGGTGTGTGCAAAGAAAGGCTAGCCTCAGGACAACCACCTGACTTCTGTAAGGACCCCTTTTTGCGGGCACTAACCCATTCCTGAGAGAGAGAACCCGCTCGTCAACTGGATTATTAATCTCTGAAGGCAGTGCCCCATGACTCAGACTCAGCCCACTAGGCCTCTCCTCCTCAAGGTTCTGCTGAAACTGTTACCTTTGGGGACCAGGCTTCCAGTCCATGAACCTTTGGGGAACAAACATACTCAACCACAGCACCCAGCCTGCGTGAGGTTCTCTAAGCTTGACCTACATTTTCCCACCATGTGCATCTCCTTCAGACTCTCATCGCCCTGCCTGATGGAAAGAAGCCCCAGTTGAAAAGCTCCTTCCTCCGAGAGCCTTTCCTAGTCTCCACCACACAAGATGCTGCCTCTCTTGCTTTGAGCTTCTTCTCTAGTGACATGAATCATATGCTTTGACACTAGTCGAAAAACAGTCTGTGTGTGGAATCTCTTTGGAAGAATACAGAGTAAACTGGAGCAGTACCTTTGGGGAGGGAATGGAGTGACTCTGAGACAGGGGAGAGGCCTTTTCTGTCCACCCTTCTTTTTAAATCTTATACTGCATATATATCCCATGAGTTCCCCCCCCCATGAGAGTATTATTTAAATAATATTTGAAAGAAAATAGTGAAGACTGGATATGTCTATAAATTAAGTAGGGAAAACGTCCTTAAGCAAATGCCAAACCCAAAAGCCATGAAGAAATGATCTCAAAGACATGTGTGCACTTGTCGTGTCCCTGTTTGGCTTCAGTTACCTGACGTGCTCATCTTTCTGACCATTTACAGAGCATAGCAGTGACCCCTAACAGTGACGAATAAATAGTAGTTGAATTGAAATTAACAGTCCCTTCTTTGCTGGCCCCACTTTTTTTCACTTATGCAGTGACCGGGGTCCCACTGAGAGTTGGTGGAGGGGTAGGTGTTCTGGGCAAGCAGGAGGGGCTCGGAGCCTGCAGCCCTCCCCTGAGCCCGTCCTTCCCCACACACTAGGCTCCAGCGGGTCTGGCCTTCCAGGAGCTGCCCTGGGGTGCTCAGTGTGAACCTCGCTGAGGAAATGAACTAATTTGACACAGTTCAAGGAGAGTCGGGGATCTGTGGCAGGCTTGCTGCTCTGAATGTAACAGTGTGGCAACAGCAGTTGCTGAGGTCTCTTTGAACCCCAGCTGGCCAGCTTTGGGAGCTTCTTGGCCAGAGTTTTAAGAGACACCCGGAGGAGTGCTGTGTCTTTCTGTCTCCTGTTCAGGACCCCGATAAGGTTGAAGAGCAGGGAGGAGTCAAGAGAAATGTGCCCTTGGGGGACTGAGGGGACTTATTTGGGCTCATCTCTTAGTTTCAGACAGACTGCCAGACTTCTCTGGATCCTTGTGGCGCCGGAACTCAGCTTTGTTTTGTTAACAGCTTTTTAAAAATGGAGTCTTCTCTCTCCATCTCAAGTGAGAAGTAGCCCGAGGGCAAGGTGCCATTTTCTCTCTTTCAGCCTGGTCCCCCCACCCCCTGGCCTGGCTGCTTAATTGGAGAAGCTGATATTGGTGAGCGGCTGGAGGGACAAGTCTGCATGGAATGTGGTCACATGGTCTTGTGGACCAGCAAGCACCTCTCATGGATCAGATGAGATAAATATGATAAATAAGATAAGGAGGTGAAGGTGTTTCACCCTAGACAGTCTCACCTGCAGGAAAATGTGAGATTAGCCATGGGGGCGTGACAAGCACACCAGTGCCTGCTCTAGCCGGAGCATGGAAGGTGCCGAGGGCCTTGGGAAGTCTCCCAGGAAACCCACCAGAAATCCCCACTCTGGGACCAGCAGTTGGCCTAATGGCTATGTCGCTGGACTCCCATGTAGATCGCAGTTCCAGGCATGCGTGTGTGCGTGTCCAAGATCTTGAGAGGAGAATGGAGGAGAAGGGATTACAGCGTGGCCATCCCCTCTGGGGGGTGATTTCTCACTTTCTGTCTCTCTGTCTGTCTCTGTCTTTCTGGCAAGTGCATGTGCCCTATAGCAAAAACCTCTCAAAAAAAAAAAGAAAAGAAAAGAAAAAAGAAAAAGAAGAAATCCCCGCTCCGGCCAAGAATGACCTTTTTATTATACTACAGAGCCCTTTCTGCATTGATACTGAAAACCAGGCTAACACACTCAGCGACCCCCCTCCCCAACAGTATTTTACCTCCTTTCACGCCAATTCATTCTTCATGCCAGAAGCTCTTATTAAAACCATGTGTCCAGATCTGCAGGTTCAGGACCCGATCAGAGCCTGACATGTGGTGTGAATGCGGTTCTCTTTTTTTTTTTTTTTCTTTTTTTGGAGAGGTTTTTGCTATAGGGTGCGTGCACTCCCCAGACAGACAGAGAGA